CCTATGGGGCAGTTCTACTCTGTCCTATACGGTTGCTATGGATCAGAATCAGCTCGACAGCGGTGGGTTTTATGGGACTAACCAAAAGGTTGGCAGTTTGAACCCACCCAGCAGCACTGTGGAAGAAAGGCCTGGCAATCTGCTGCCATAAAGATTACAGCCAAGAAGACCCTATGGGGTCATTCTACTCTGTAACACATGGGGTCACCATGAGTCAGAATCAACTCGTGGCGACCCCATGTGTGGGATTAAATATTAGAGTTTTCAAAGAATATTGGTTATATGGTGGGAAGACAATTAGCTCCTAAATTGACCAGGTGGCTCCAGCCTGTGCTTGCAGTTGATATATTCGTTCTGGAAGAGAATGGGAAGGAACTGTCTGGGCCATTCCTCATTACGAGGTCCAGAGCCAGCATGCTGGTGTTCCTTCTTTGCAAACACAAGGCAGAAACGGATCAGTGTCACTTCTGAGCTATGACAGTGATATTTCAGTGAAATGATTCCAGGCTTGGCAGGGTAAATATCCACGTATTCCATCCTTATCTCGGGATACCGGCCTGCCTTCTCTGCAGAGCCTTTGTTATTTCCTCTCATTTATTGCCAACATCTTTCAGTCTTAATAAATCTTCAGTTTGCAGTTAGAATATCCGAATGGAAATCCATGTTGACTGTTAATAAGGACCTCCTCCTTGGTCTCCTGGAGGCATTGATTCTCTCCCTCAGTAAACTGTGAAGCTCAATTTTAAAAGCGAAGAATCTGCCTCTGATGCTTGGAGTAAACAGCTCGATTCCTAGGTCTTGCTTATTAACAAACCTTTACTTGGTGTTGTGTGACAGGCACTATTCCTTCAGTTCGTTTAATCGGATCACTCATTGTTCTGACATACAATCCCCTTCCTTCCCAGGAGAGTTCCTCTAGAGGAAAAGTAACTAAAGTTAAATGGTCAAAGGTAGAAGACAATCAGAACTTTTTTAAAAAAGGAGAAAGAGAGAGACAAGGGCAGACGGACTGCGCTGCAGTTTATTTGCGATGTCCCCCGGGGCTTGGAGCTGGACGGCTGTGTCCACCCGAGGGCTCCTGCCACCGCCCAGCCTGCTCCGGCTCTTCCCCACTTTTCCCAGTCAGCCTTCTTATCCTAATTATCTGCAGTGAAGTACCCACTGCCTGCACTCCGCTGGCTTCTGAGGGGGTGAATCTCTGCAGACCTGGACGTCGTTACAGTTCTACCGACGTGCATGTGTTCCCCCAGTGACATCTGACACAACCAGTCTCATGATCTTAATGCCCTACAATGACTGTCGAGAGTGGCCGGCTGCATATGACCCCCTGTGATTGTCATCACCAGGGTTCGTCTTCAGCCCTGACAGCCCAGCCGTCCAGCCCTCCTTCCTGGGAAAGCAGTGGACAGTGGACACCATTTTGGTATCAGGTTGGAGCCCCTGCCAGCCCCTCTCCTCTTCTCTGTCATCCTGGGACACCTTGTCTCTCCTCTGCAGAATCAGCTGGTTTTAACCATTGCATTGACCTGTTGTTGAAAAGAAGTCCACAGGCATTAAGCTTATCCCATAAAGGAGTGGGCTGTTTCCTCTGACTTCTTGGATGGCTGTAGCTCCCAAGAAGTCTAGTTTCGATCGATCTGCCCTCTATAGCAAAGGAAGATTCAGCCGGGACATTTTGAAAAGCTGTCCTTTTTTATGCTGGTAACAAGCTGATGTCGATTCCAACTCCTAGAAATCCCATGTGTGTCAGAGTAGAACTGTGCTCCATAGGGTTCTCAATGGCTGATTTTTGGAAGTAAATCTCCAGGCCTTTCTTCTGAGGCACTACCCATGGACTCCTTTATGATGGTAGGGCAGGGCTTTTCTGTCTGGGGCCCGCTGGGCATGGTGGCGCAGTGATAAAAAGCCCCACTCCTGCCTTGCAGGGCCCACACAGTTTCAGCCCAGCCTGTGGGGGGGTGGGAGGGGGTAGTATCCTCAGCAAGGCTTCCGAGCTCTCTGTTGTAACAGTGACCTGCAGCTAGAGGATGAGGTAAGCAGCTGAGCACGCCGCTGAGCCTCAGCAGAAATGCCACCAAGGGGAGGTACCTTCCAACAGCCCTTGCACACCCGGGGGTGGGGGTGCTTGTTAAAAAGTTCAGCCCCGGGCTTTCCTTCTGGATTCCCACAACTGTCCCTGAGCAGGGGCTGTGAAGGGTTCATGGGGGCAGCTAGAATCCTGTACCCACCACCCAGCACACACACAGGCCCCCAGGAACCCCGTCCTCTGGAGCTTGTAGTGAGACCCCCACCCATCACACACACACAGGCCCCCAGGGACCCCCACACCCTGGAGCTTGTTGTGAGACCCCCACCCATCATACATACAGGCCCCCAAAGACCCCCGCACTCTGGAGCTTGTAGTGAGACCCCCAGCCATCACACACACAGGCCCCCAGGGACCCCCGCGCTCTGGAGCTTGTTGTGAGTGAGGCAGTGAAGACATTGGCACTGAACACAGCACTGGAGTGTGGATGTAGGGCTGATCTCCAGGGCATGGAAAGCATTCCCTCACACTCGGAAGGAGAAATCAGCGGCACCCGCCATCTACATTTAAAATTTCCTGACTCATTACCTTCTTTTCTCTAGGCACTAATATTTGCAGAGCAGTTTAAACATTCACCCATGTGTAGCTATTTAATAACTGAAATGAAGTAGCCTGCAGTTACCCCTGTTAGATGCTGCTTCCTGGAGATGGTGCTGCCCGGAAAGAGCTTGCTTTGTTTCTTCCTCTGATTGCAGTTACCCGAGAAGGGGTGTTCAGAGCTTAGGGATGTGGACAGATGCACAGCGTCTGTGTGTGACCAGCAGGCGTTAGGGTTTCTTACCTCTGTGGAGAGATGTAAGGGAGAAACTGGTTGGTTCTACAAAGTGCTTTGTTTTCACATGTGGGGAAGACTCTAGCATCCAACAACACATCAGTGTTGCAAACTGGCTAAATCCCATGCCATCTTCACTAATCTGCAAAGAGCTTAGGGCTGGAAATACCTCTGGGTCTTCCCAGAGAGGCAGTGGGGAGGGAGCTGAGCTCCCAGGCCATCCCTCAGCCCTGGGGCACTTGGTACCTCGCTAGACCGTTGGAGCAGGAGTGAGCCTGGAGCTGTCTGTGCTGAGACGGCCCCACAGCGTCTCTGGCTGACATTTTCCTGCTGCCTTGTGAGCACACGCCCACCCCAGGGTGTTCTCTGGAGGTAGGAGTGTTTGCTCAGGTGCTGACCCCTGGCCTGATCTTTAATTTCCCTACTCAAGCTCAGGTGACTGCTGCCTGGGTAGCCACTTCAGGGCTGGAGGGGCTGAAGGAGCACGGGTGCAGCAGCCTGAGTCAGAGCACGCGGTACCGGTACCGTTCCGGGTGCAGCAGCCGGCGTTAGAGAGTGCAGTACCATTCTGGGCGCAGCAGTCCCCTTCAGAGCGCATGGTACCTACCGTTACGGGCGCGACCGACCGCCTCTGAGGTCCCAGTACTGTTCTCTAAGCACTTGCACCCACGCCTCTTACGTTCCTCTTGTAACCATCCTTCAGGCTGGCCCTGTAGCAGTTCCCATTTTACAGGTGCTGAGACAGACCTCAGGAACGCTGGGCGGCTTCGTCTCCCAGGAGCTGCCCTTCCCCGAGCTGTTTGTTAGAGCCTGGTGCTTTGCCCACAGGGGAGTCACCGTCGCTGCCTCTTCTGTTTCCCTGTGGAACCCTCAAAGGTGAAATCCTGCCGAAAATGCTCAAGGACCAAGGTGACTGGATGCGTTGGCTCGTGGGCGCTGCCTCCCTCGCTGCTTTGGGTTCCACCAGGGACAGGAGTGGTCAGCTGGCAGAGGCCACACAGGCAGTCCTGGGGTGGGCGCTGTCTGTGTGGAGCCGCTGTGCAGGCTGTGCTTCCCCTGTGGTGGATCTGCTCTCCTCAGCCTGCCTGGCCCCAGCTGGAGTACCAGAGTGTCCCGCACCTCCACTAGGAGGGTGGGTGGTGGTCATGACCTGGGGCAGATAACGGGGTGACGAACCACAGCGTTTGGTCCTCTGTGATTGTGTGCAGTCCCACATGCAGAGGAAAGTCTGAGCATGGAGCTGATGCTGTAACAGCATGCAGAGTCCTCAGCCCACCCCAGAAACCAGCCTCTGGAGCCCTCAACCCATCCACTCCTTTCCTGGGGCTGCCTCAGCAAAGGACCACACACTGGTGGGGGGCGGGGGAGTGGGCACTAAAGCATCAGGAGTGTATCCTCTGGTGGGGGTTAAAGCATCAGGAGTGTATCCTCTGGTGGGGGGAGGTTAAAGCATCAGGAGTGTATCCTCTGGTGGGGGGGTAAAGCATCAGGAGTGTATCCTCTGGTGGGGGGGGTGTAAGGCAGCAGGAGTGTATCCTCTGGTGGGGGGGTTTAAAGCATCAGGAGTGTATCCTTTGGTTGGGGGGGGTGTAAAGCAGCAGGAGTGTATCCTCTGGTGGGAGGGAGTGTTAAAGCATCAGGCGTGTGTCCTGTCAGAGTTCTGGAGGCCAGGAGTCCAAAATCAAGGTGTCAGCAGGGCCGTGCTCCCTCTGCAGGCTGGCGGGAGGCCCCTTCCTTGCCTCTTCCAGCTTCTGGTATTGCTGACCATCCTTGGCTTGCAGCTGCCTCACTCCAGCCTCTGCCTCCATCTGCACGTGGCCGTCTTCCCTGTGGGTATCTCTGTGTGTCCTCTCCTCTCAGAAGGATTAGGACCCCCACCTGACTCCACTGTGACCTCATGTGAACTAATTCCATCTGCAATGACCCCATTCCCGAGGTCACATTGAGGGGTTCTGGGTGGACATGAAGTTTCCAGGGCACTACTCGACCCACTAGAGCCCTGGTGGCGCAGTGGTTAAGAGCTCAGCTGCTAACCAAAAGGTTGGCAGTTCAAATCCACCAGCCGCTCTCTGGAAACTCTCTGGGACAGTTCTGTTCTGTCTTTTGAGGTCACTGTAAGTTGGAATTGACTCGACGGCAGTAGGTTTGGTTCGGTTCTTCACCCCACTATGCTCACCTTCACATCTGTCGTAGTTGGCCTGGGAGCAAGGGATGACTCGTGGTTGGGAGTATGATCTTTAGGGCGACACAGAAGTGGGTTTGAATTCTCCCTCTGCTGTTACTAGCTGTGTAAACTAGGGCAAGTCTCATCTCTCTGTGCGTCAGTATTCTTGTCTGTGAAATGGGTATAGTAATCACGGAACTTACCTCCCAGAGTCGCTGTGAGGTTATGTAGCGTGACGCCTGGCTCTCAGAAAGCAAGCGTTCCTGGGCTGTTACTGTTACTCTTCTTAGATGCTCCCCCATTTTTCCGAGCCTCACAGTCCACGTGAAGAGCGTTAGCCGGATGGTCTCAGGCCTTGTAACTCCCCCTCTTGTCTTAGACGCAGCAAGCCCATCTCCTCCGCTGGTATTGCCAGTATTGTCTTCTCTTGTAAATGCTACCAGCAGCGGGGGCCGAGGAGGTTAGGTCATGTGATCTAGCAAGACGGTAAGCCTTTCGGAACAAAAAATACCAGGCGAAGACGAGAGGGGAATCGTGGTCCCGGGTGTCCACAGAGAGACCGTATACAAATGCGAGGTTTGGCACTTGGTTTTTTCCTTTAGGTTTTGAGTATGAAACAGTGACTGGCTGAAAACATCCCACTGCTTTTGAGAGATTTTCTTTCCTATCTGATTTCATTTCTCAAGCCTGGGGTCTCCCTACCTAATGCAGGCCCGTTTACTCTGTGGCTGCCCTGGTAAATCCACAGATGGGTGGCGTGTTAGTCACTTCCATGCCCCTCCCTTATCATCAGCCTGAGACCCCCTGGGATGGTTAGAGTCTAGTAGGACGGAAAGGAACGGGAGAGGGCCCTGGGACTGTCAGGCTCACAGGTGCGGCTGATCCGGGAGCACAGGGCAGGTAGAGGCAGAGATGGGACACAGCTGGGGCCCGGGGCTCAGGCCAGCACGCCCCACTGGCCCCCTGCCTCTCCCACGTGTTCCCTTAACCTGGTTTCCTAGCACGGGCTGCTGGGAGCAAGGTGTCAGGGCCCCAAGTGTGTGTTCAGCTGCCTGCTTGGGCCCTGGGCTTGAAAAGCTTGTTCAGAGCTGTGCACACACGCACTGCTCGCCCTCAGTGTGGGATTCTGCACAGACAGGATTCACGCTGTTGAGACAAGCGACCGCTGGGTGTGGACAGGAACAAAGGGCGTCTGAGGGCTTGATGAAGACGGTTCAGGGGCCCTCGGCCGTCATCAACCACCATAGCTTTCTCCCAGGGCTCGTGGTGGGCTGCGGGGCCAGGTTCTTGCTGTGCTGCATTGGGACGTCTCCAATGACTGTGCTCCGAGGAGGTGGGAGCGCCCATTGTGTCCCCAGGGCGGTAAAGTCTGTGTCCCTGTTTTGATTGTGTCCAGGCATACCCATGGAAAGCATAACTGTCTATCAGAAGATCCCACATCCAGGAATCCAAGGAAACCTGAAGAGCTATTTCTCCAAGCAGGTATGTGGTTTTCCTGGGGTGCTCCATGGGGCAGGCACCCCCGTGCGGGCGGGCACAAGACACATAGACGAGGTCTCAGTTCAGTTGCCCAGATGGCAGATGTGCGGCTTTGAGGGAGGAGTTAACCTTTGTGGGGCTCCACTTCTCTGTCTGTGAAATGGGAATGTCTTGTCCAGTAAGGTTGTGAGGATTCACGGAGACGAGTTAGCAGGCCCTTTACATGGTGTCCGAGGTACCGTAAGCCTGAGGTGAATTGTGGCCTTGCTGCTGTGGTCATGGTTGTTCATGGAACGTGGGGGTTTCAGGGGAACTGTAGAGGCTGACGTGGGCCCGCTGGGGAGGGGCCTGCAGTGCTCAGCCAGGAGTCTGGACCAGATGTGGGAGGCCGCGTGGGAACTTGGAGGCTCTGAGCAGAATGGCTGGCTGTAGTTTGAGTTGTTGGTTGTCTTCAACATTTACCTTCAGCCCCTTCCTCCCCCGGGACCGGCTTTTGAGTGGCTTGCCTGGCACTGGAAGGTCTTGTGGAAAGACAGTCCAAGTGCAGAAAGGCTGTCCGCCGGCTCTGTCTGCTCTGTTTCTGGAAGGGGTGAAGAGTGGACAGGGAGCTGGACACGACTGTGCCTTGGCTGACCAGTGCCACACTGGCCTCAGGAGCTGGAGGCCTTGTCCAGTCTGCTGGGTACGTGGTGTCCACAGCTGTGTCCTCCGGCCTAGGGGCCGGCATAGTGACCCACGAGCAGCGCCCCGCCTCCTGCTCACACCTGCTCATTCAGCCAGTCCTTCCCAGAATTCTGCCTCGGCAGAGCAGAGTGGTACTGTCTCCTGGAACATGCCTACTGTAACACCCCCGGGTAGGCTGCCCCGTGTGTGAGGCTGATTGGGGTGGCAAGTGGTGGGCCTTCTCTTCTCGTCACTGCAGGGTGTCCCAGCCAGCATCACGTTTTTCAGTCCCTCGGGCCTGACGTACAGCCTCCAGCATATCCAGGAGTTAGCTGGTGACAGCATCAGGCAAATCCAGGTGAGGCACAGGTGGTCTTGGTGGTCCTTTTCATATTCTTCCTTGTTTAAATCTTTATTAATTGTCCTAGGGTGTCTGTGTAAAATCAAAGCCCCCTGACCTAGCAGACACCCCGACGGCAGCTTGTAGAATTGAAATGTTCTGGGCTCTTGGATTGCAAGCCCAACAGTGCCACTTCTGGCTGGTGCCCTTGGGCAAGTTACTAAACCTCTCTGAGCCTGTTTCCTCATTTGTAATGTGAGGATGAGTACCCTTTGTGCCCTTATGGACATGTATGTGGTAGTTTTTTCTTTGTTGCTTGAGCTTTCCATGTTGTACCTAAGAAACCATTGCCTAATCAAGAGTCATGAAGATTTATACCTGTGTTTTCTTCTAAGAGTTTTATGGTTTTAGCTCTTACATTTAGGTCTTTGATCCCTTTTGAGTTAATGTTTGCGTATGGTGTGAGGTAGGGATCCAACTTTGTTCTTTTCTTATGGAGTTTCTTAAGGAGTGGCAGGGTGGCAGTGTGAGGGACCACAGAAGCTCGGGCCCTGTGTCCCGTTCTGACTTGCTCCAGAGGGAGGAGCATCAGCCCCACAGTGTCCTGAGGTTGTGCAAAGATGGCGCATCTTGCTACCTATGCTCCCACCTAGCTTGGCTCCTGCGTTCTGGGGAGGGAGAGTGCAGGGGGCTGCTGGGTGAGGGCTTCTATCTCCAGGACACCCACCTTCCTCACCGTCACAGCCCTTCTCCAAGCAGGTGCACCGTCCAGAGTTTTCATCCTGAGCAGGGAGGAGGGGGAATGCTTCTGTCTGCCAGAACTGCTTAGCGATCCCCATAGTCCCCATGCAAGCCCTGCCAGCCAGGGAGTTGTGCCCCCTTTACAGGTGAAGCCGAGACTCGGAGAGGTTCCGTGACTTGTAATAGCAGCTAGTAAGTGGCAGAGTCCGGACAAAAAGTCATGCTCAGTCCAAGGCAAGTCTCTGGCCGTGACCATGAAACACGTGGTGCTGGGCAGAGGGCAGCGTCCAGGGATGAGACCCATGTCACCGGGCGTTCTAACCCGGGGTCCTGAGAGGGCAGGCGCAGCAGCTGACGTCCACTGAGCCGCACCTGGGCCAGGCGGTTACACATTATCACCGCATTTCGTCCTCACAGCAGCCCGCAAAGACTGCGCCACAAGCCTTTCTGTGTTATGGATGAGGAATTGGGGGCACCCAGGGGGTGGGTCAGTTGCCAAGGCCACTGTCCTGTGAGTGCTGGCCAGTGCTCCAGGGCCCTGGTCTGGCTGCTCTGCTTTCCCGTCACACCCCGCCACACCCAGAGCCCCTTTCAGACTGTCTGGGCTTTACCTGGTCCAGAACGCAACGTGTAACTGTCTGCAGCTAAGGTTTGCCAAGATGCAGGACACAGTTCCAGCCCCCTCAAGTCCCTCCCCTCCAAGGTACAGCCTCCTCACCTTAGCTGTGGGGACAGGCATGATCTTGCTCAGGATGGTAAACCCAAAACCAAACCAGTTGCCCTCCAGTCAACTCCAACTCATGGCAACCCCACGTGTGTCAGAATAGAACTGTGCTGCATAGTTTTCAAGGCTGTGACCTTTCAGAAGCAGATCACCAGGCCTTTCTTCGGAGCTACCTCTGGGTAGGTTTGAACCACCGACCTTCTGGTTAGCAGCCAAGCACATAACTGTTTGCACCACCCAGGGACTCCGTAACCATTGTCATCAAGTCAGTTCCAACTCATGGGGACCCCGTATGGTCAGAGTAGAACTGCTGCGTAGGGGTTTCGTTCGTTTAATTTTATTTTGTTGTTGTGGTCGAGAATATACACAGCGACAGTTTCTACATGTATAATTCAGTGACACTGGTCACATTTTTCGAGTTGTGCAGCCATTCTCACCCTCCTTTTCTGAGCTGATCCTCCCCCATTAACATAAGCTCACTGCCCCCTAAGTCTCCTGTCTGATCTGTCCAGTCGCTGTTGTCAGTTTGATCCCATACAGACAGACCTGCAAAGAGCACAGTGCCCACAGCAGACATGCTCTGCTAGTTAAGTGAAATTAGTGTTTGGTTTTAAGAAGAGCTCAGGGGATATTTTTGGTTTAAGGTTTAAAGATTATCTCAGGGCAATAGTTTCAGGGGATCATCCAGCCTCTATGGTTCCAGAAAGTCTGGAATCCATGAGAATTTGAAATTCTGTTCTACATTTTCCCCCTTTGATCAGGATTCTTCTGCAGAATCTTAGATTCCTTAGGGTTTTCAACGCTGTGCCCTTTTAGAAGCAGATTGCCAGGCCTTTATTTCAAGGCACCTTTGGGGGAGTTCGAACCACTAACCTGTTGGTTAGTACTTGAATGCATAACCATTCTGTCCACCCAGGGACTCAGTGGCCAGTGTATACAAAGGTATTCTGCAGACCAAGGCCCGATTCCAGTCAGGTGGTGTTCCATTCTATAAGTGCGTGTCACGTGGGACTTGAGTGATGTCCCAGCAGGAAGGCTGAGCGATGGGCCCTGTCCCCACATGCCCTCTTGCTCCCTGCGTCCTGCCAGCACACTGAGGCCCCCATCTCTCCTTGCAGTTTGCAGCCATTGGCCCCACCACGGCACGCGCGCTGGCCGCCCAGGGTCTGCCTGTGAGCTGCACGGCAGAGCTCCCCACACCGGGAGCCCTGGCCACGGGCATCCGGAAGGCGCTCCATGCCCACAGCTGCTGCTGAGCGGCCCCCTGGCTGCCTCGGCCCGCACAGCCTTCCTGCACGACCTGCTGCCCCCTGCTGCCCCCTCAGGATGGAGTGAGGCATTGGGCAGGAAGCCGGCGTCCAACACCCGCCTCCAGCCTGAGTGGAACCACCTGGGGACCGGGGCCAGGACAAGGGGCTGGCAGCAGGCCAGCATGCACGTGACGTCCCTCCGTGGAGGCCCACTCAGACCCTTGCCCGAGCGCTCGCCGGCTGCCAGCCCCTGAGAGAGGGCCCTATGCCCGCCCAGCAGAAGGAACCCCAATAAACCACGTGATCCCGCACATGTGCACGACTGAGGCTGTGCGTTGCTTTCACTGTGGAGCTGTGCTGGGGGGAAACAGGCCTCAATCTGACAGTGACCGACCTGGTAACAAACCAAACCCGCGGCCGTTGAGTGGATTCCGACTCACAGCGACTCTATAGGACAGAGTAGAACTGCCCCATAGGGCTTCCAAGGAGCGGCTGGTGGACTCAAACTGCTAACCTTTTGATTAGCAGCTGAGCTCTTAACCACTGTGCCACCAGGGCTGCGACCAAACCTGGTACGATGGTAAAATGTGTTGCGAATGGAGCAGTTATATAAACAAGACCTTGAAGCTCCTGCTTTGTGAGCTGTGGACGATTGTAGTTCAAACAGAGACTTCCCCTCACAAGTGCAATTCTGGTGTTGGGCGGTGGGACCTGTGATCCTCCCAGGCGTCTGAGAGCCTAGCCGGGTATTTTCCTAGGGGAGCCGCATGTCAAGTGCGGTGCCCTCTAGAAAGGCCCCGCAGAAACCCTGGCCCCAAACCTGACTTGCCCTTCTTGAAGCTTGGCCCGGGATGTGAGCTGGTTGAGTGAAACCCGCGTCTGTGTGTTAATACCGTGCCAGCTGGGGGGGAGAGACCCCTGTGTGGGGGGAGAGACCCCCGTGTGGGGGGGAGACCACCGTTGGGGGGTAGGGGGAAGAGCCGGGGAGGAGAGACTCCGGTGTGGGCGGGAAGAGTCGGGGAGGAGAGACCCCCGGGATGGAGGGAAGAGCCGGGGAGAAGAGACCACCGTGGGAGGGTGGAAGAGCCGGGGAGGAGAGACCACCATTGGGGGGTGGGGGGAAGAGCCCGGGAGGAGAGACCACCATTGAGGGGTGGGGGGGAAGAGCCCGGGAGGAGAGACCACCTTGGCGGGGGGGAGAGTTGGGGAGGAGGGACCACTGTGGCAGGGGTGGGGGAGTGCCGGGGAGGAGAGACCACCGTTGGGGGGTGGGGGGAAGAGCCGGGGAGGAGAGGCTACCGTGGTGGGGTGGGGGGTGGGGGTGGGAAGGTCAGCGCCCGCATCTTACAGGGGGGCACCTGCAGGCGCAAGTCTGCACAGGGCTGTGTGCGGCTGACCGCCACCCCTTGTCCCAGCCCTGAGGAGGGGAGGGCACCACAGTTCCCATCTTTCTTGGGAGAAACAGAGGCTCAAGAGGTTAGGGTCATGCAGCAAGTGAGAGACGGGCCAGGACAGGTTTAAAAAGGCCTTCTGAGCTCCAGCTCCTGGGCCCAGACAGTGAGACTGCCGCTTCCTGTCAAATCTACCTCAGTGGAGAAGCAGGCTGTGGCGGTCATTAGAGCTCCAGTCTGGGGGTGACCTGGGCAGATCCTCTGCACAGAGGGACAGCGACGACCACCTGTCTATCCATGGCCATTTTTCTGAACACCAGGCATATCCATTCCACAGGCTTCCTTCTGACCTGAAAGCCAGACCTTTTCCTCAGGCTCAGCCGGGGGCGCCTACACAGAAGCGGAACCAGCCTCTCCAGGAGCCCCTGGTCCCTCGTTCTGTCTTCACTGTGGGCCCTGGGCCTTCCACTGCCATTTTCCCTTCTAAGTCCAATTTATTTCCTCAAAATCCAACTTAGTTGGAATGAAGTCAGGTCCATCAAACGTGCTGAACCTTGAGAGTCCACTGCACTCTGAGGCTGAGTAATAACTGAGGGAAGTCCGCTTTGAGAGAAAAGCCAACGGCGAGGCTGGCCATGCAGTGAAGTCAACAAGGCCTTTGAGAAAGGGTGGTGCCATGGTTCTCCAGTGGCATCCGATGACAGGAGGACCTGGCGTGGAGAACTCTGAGAGCTTGTGAGAACGGGGGTGACCGAGCCGTCACGGGATGACAGCCACCAGGAAGGCTAGAAGGTGACTCAGGAAAATGCATGGGCCTCACAGGACCCGGGCACTTAGCTGAGGGTGCGGGGCCCTGGGCTGGAGGAGGAAGTCTGGGGAGAAAGCAGCGACGCGGCCTCCTGGCCTGAACAGCCGCCACTAGGGAGTTACGTAAAATCACACACTTACCTGTCTTGTGTGTGCACACGATGTACGTAGCTGCTAGAATGCTCACCAAAACGATACCACCTGAATCAGGATTTTCCCCTTTATTCTCAGTACGTTTTAAACTTATATTTTGTACACTGATCATGTATTTTCTTCATAAAGAGAAATAAATAATGGACACCAGAGAAACAAACTAAAAATCCTCAAACGCTCCCAAGCAAACAAAAAACTTCTCTCAAACGGTGAGCAAACTAGTGGTCATGGTTTTTAAATTCAGGTCCAGTTCTGAGCTGCATGTTGCTAGCGAGGTTGTCTGCCTCTGCTAACAGCTGGTGGAAGTTTGCTGTGATTCCGCAGCTCGCCTAGGCAACAAACAGGCCTGCAGTCCGCAGGCGTTTGCGAGTTTGAGATGCAGTTACCCAAGGCTATGCAAACACTGAAGGCCCTGAGAGAGGGAGTGAGTTCTCAAGCTAACAAGAAAAGTGGCACCGGGATCTTCAAAGCATAGCACCTCCTGGGTCCCGCGACACGGCCACCGCCGAGCCTGGTGGGCACACTTCAGGGCTGGGTGAGAGATGGTGGGATACTCGGCAACCTCCTCTGTGGCACTCATAAAAGCCGCCTCAGGCCCTGCTCCTTAAGGAGGGGAGACGGGGACGAAGCAGGAGCAGGGAGGGCAGGGTCCCTCTGGTCAGATCGGGCCATGCACGCTGCCTCCATCTTCCGTCCGACTCTGCTGTTCTGCTGGCTGGCTGCCCCCTGGCCCGCCCAGCCCGAGACCCTTTTCCATGGCCGGGACCACTCGGACCTGGAGCCATCCCTCCTGCGACAGGCCCAGCCCATCGCCGACCTCCGCGCTGCTCAGGTAGGAGAAGCCCCGAGAAAGCGCAGAGCCCACGTGCACAGTGCACAGAACATGCGTGCACATGTGTACATGTGCGCACACACGCTTTTTTAAAGGAATCTTGTTACAGACCTATGCTGGCGATCCGGGGCTGTCTGCCCTCCTCTGCCTTCACGTGGATTAACTGAGCACCTGCCATATGCAGAGCTCACTCTCTGCCCCAGAGAACCCCCGGCTGCTAGGCCCGCACAGCTACGTTTGCCAGCGGAGGCGGAAGGCCAGTCTTGAGCTCCGCCGGCTCTGGGAAAGGTTGCTTACACGGTTGGTGGTGTGTCGTGAATCCGCATCTTACCCTGATGTTATTTACATAATCGGCAGCCCGAGGTCAGTGATGTCCCACGCACAGGAACAGCGGCGTGTGAAATAGTGGCCGAGGCGCTGATCCCGTGGCATCCGTTGGCCTTCGGGCTGAGCCCCCCGGAGGCCCTGGGGAGGGAGCAGGGAGAGAAGCGTCCCAGGCAGAGGGCACTGCGCAAAGCCCACAGCGTGTTGGGGGACAGGAGGAGGCCCTCGGGGGAGAGGAGGACAAAGCGGGCGGTCCGGGATGTGCCCGGTGGGAGGCGCTGAGGGGCCACCGCCCGCCGTCTCTCCGCAGGGCTTCCTGGCCAAGTACGGTTGGACCGCGGCCCCGCGACCCGGAGACCCGGGGCCCCGCGCCTTCGCCGAGGCCGTGCGCGCCTTCCAGAGCGCCAACCGGCTACCGGCCACGGGGGCGCTGGACGCAGCCACGCTGCGGGTCATGAACAGACCGCGTTGCGGCGTCCCCGACCCCCGCGGCGCCTCAGGTTTCCAAGGCGTCCCCCGCCCCCGTGGCGTCCCCGATCCTCAGGGCGCCTTCGACCCCCGTGGCGTCCCCGATCCCCGCGGCAACCCCGGCCTCCGGAGTGACCGTGACCCCCGCGTCCCGCAGCCCCCGCCGGCCCGGGCCCGTGCGAAGCGCTTCCTGCAGCTGCTCCGTCCCCTGGTCGGCCGGGAGGAGGCCTCCGGGGACAGCGGTGCCACCAGGGCCTTCTCCAAAAGGACCCTCAAGTGGAGGCTGGTGGGCGAGGGCTACAGCAGCCAGCTGTCTGCAGGCGAGCAGAGGTACATCTTCAGACTGGCCTTCCGGATGTGGAGCGAGGTGACGCCGCTGGACTTCGAGGAGGACCTGACCAGCCCCGGTGCCCAGATTGACATCAAACTGGGCTTTGGGAGAGGTAGGAGGGCGACTGCCGTGAGCCGCCATTGCCAGGACTGCAGGCGGCCTCCTTTCTGCCCTTCCTGAGTGTGCGGGCCCCAAGGGCACAATGAGAGGTCCATGTAGCACAAGGGGCGGTCCGTGTAGGGGTCCGTGTAACACACTGTGGGGCCATGTAGCGCAACGTGGCATCCCGAGGGCACAATGTGGGGTCAGTGTAGCACAATGCAGGGCCGGTACAGCACAGTGCGGGGTCCGTGTAGCACAATGGTGGAGCCCGGTGAGCACCTGCTCAGTCAGGCTGACGTAGGTGAACCCCACCTGTGCTTGTCCTTACTCCAGGCCCATGTAGCACAGCAGGATAATCCCCACCTGCTGGCTTGCTCTGGGGTGACACCAGGCAGCGCATCAGCACACTGTAAGCCGCCCTCAGGTCAATTCTGACTCCACGTTTCAGAGTAGAACTGTGCTCCATAGGATTTTCAATGGCTGTGATCTTTCAGAAGCAGATCACCAGACCTTTCTTCTGAGGCACCTCTGGGTGGACTCAACTGCCGACCTTTCAGTTAGCAGCTGACCATGTTAGCTGCACCACCCAGGGACTCCCAACCACAGGTAGCGCCCCTTTATGTCGTGACCCACTCCGAGATGAGGATCCAGCTCCTACCTTGTCCTCCGTAAGGCCTCTTTGCGGCCACTCCCCCCGCCCCACTCCACAGCACTTGGTAGGAGGCTGGCTGTCTACAGCACAGCCTTGGGACTTCACGAGCACACTGTTTATCACAGTTCTTCAGCACACGGTCTCCTGTACGTGTCCCATGGGCATTTGACCCGTGGGCAGGGCAGCCGCCAGCACCGCCCTTCACCGGGGCGGGCGGAGACACTGGGTGGTTACTGCTGCTGCGTCTGCCTCTGCTCCTGGGGGCGGGAGCCTCTGTGTGTCTGTATTCTGGTGCCAGGAAGTGAGGAGCCAGTGTGGCGTGTGCTCTGGATTCACCGGGCCCATCTCCCTTGCAGGCCGGCACCTGGGGTGCCCGCGGGTTTTCGATGGGAGCGGGCAGGAGTTTGCCCACGCCTGGCGCCTGGGTGATGTTCACTTTGACGAGGACGAACACTTTACTCCTCCCGCCAGCGACACTGGCATCAGCCTTCTCAGAGTGAGTGCCCCAGCCTGCTGGTGCCGACGGGACAAAGGGCGGCACAGACTCAGCCCGAGTCCAGAACACAGAGCTTTTCCAGCCAGGTGTCCGCGTCCGTCTAAGGAAGGCGATCAGCTCTGCCAACGGTCCTCCTTCACCTAACTTAGCCCAGCTCTTCTCAGAGCTGCCTCGTGATGGGGCCAGTCCCCGTGGACGCGGACCGCTGGGCCGGGCACAGCACTGATGGCTCGTGTCCCATCTACAGGTGGCCGTCCATGAAATCGGCCATGTCCTCGGCTTGCCTCACACCTACAGGACAGGGTCAGTAATGCAGCCGAATTACATCCCCCAGGGGCCTGCGTTTGAGCTGGACTGGTCAGACAGAAAAGCCGTTCAAAAGCTGTATGGTAAGACCGCTCAGTGAGACATCACCCCAGAGTGCAAGGGAACACCCCGCAGGACCCCACCCATTCCTCATTGGGAGGTGGGTCCCCAAAGAGCACCAAATGGCACAACTCTTGACGTCACCCCCGAGTCACTGCCTTCCAGCTCCATGATGCTAACTCTCTTAGTTAGAAGTGGCCACGCTCAGTCAGTAGCCGAAAAGCCAAAAACCTGTTGCCGTCGACTCATAGTGACCCTATAGGACAGGGTGGATCTGCCCCACAGGGTTTCCAAGGAGCGGCTGGTGGATTTGAATGGCCAACCTTTTGGTTAGCAGCTGAACTCCTAACCACTGCGCCACCAGGGCTCCAGTAGGGAGCCACAGGGGGACATTTCCTCCTGGACTCTCTCTCCCACCTGCCACGCTACGTGCAAACGAGGTTCTCCACCCAACGGCCACCTGTGCCGTGGCGTTCCACGAGAGCCGTGCGGATGGGAGGCCACGGAAGTTTACTTCTGCCCCGAGGCAGAGAGCAGTGTATCCTGGTTCACAGCACAGACCTAGTGGTTAATGAATGAAAGTGAGTAACAATTTAGCACAGGGCTGAAGGGGAGAAAAACTAGGCTACAGTTTTCCACTTAAAGGCCCCTCACAGGGACCATCCCCAGGTCTGTCTGCTTAAATCCTCCTGAAAATAACAGAAGCTAGGAGACATTTATGTCCCCGTGGAAAGCGTGCCCTTGTGAGTGCCCAGAACCAGCTTCTTCTCGCTAATGAAGTCAGATGGCCATCAAAAGGCAACAGCTGTATCTGGGGGGATGGTACACGTCAGCACCCAAACTGAGGCACGTTTGAGAGGGACCAGGAGCATATAATGAAGCCAGAGTGCCCCGCGAGCTGGGACGGCTGAGGCACCCCGCATCTCTCCAGCGACACTCGGCTCAGCGGGAAGGCTGGCTTCCAGTCTTGTATGGCATCTCGCTTTAAGGTGTTTTGGTCCAAAACTCCAGCTTTGCAACTGTCTCTACTCAAGTCACACGTGTGACATACACCGTATGACAAGTGGCCACGTTTTGTTTTTCAGGTCCATGTGAAGGCTCATTTGATACTGCATTTGACTGGATTCGGAAAGAGAGGAACCAGTACGGGGAAGTGATGGTGAGGTTCAGCACCTATTTCTTCCGCAAGAGCTGGTACTGGCTTTATGAAAATCGGAACAACAGGACACGCTATGGGGATCCTATCCAAATCCCCATCGGCTGGCACGGGATCCCGGCACAGAACATAGACGCTTTTGTTCACATCTGGACTTGGAGAAGAGATGAACGCTACTTTTTTAAAGGTAAAGAGTCTGCGGGGGGCTTGATGTCTGTCTTCAGCAAATGCATGGGGAATAAACGTTTTGAGCCCCGACCGTGGAGCGTGTTGTAATGCTCCTGTAATGAATTACCTGCTAACTCCTGTCCGCTCCGGCGCTCCGTCAGCTCCCTCAGAACAGGGATTGCGCTCTACCACCTGACGCCCCGAGCAATGGTGAGCGAATGAATCATGTCAGGCACTGAGGTGTTGCCAAGGCTTTAATCTGGTTCTGGAGGAAAAAACAGAACACGGCGGATGTCCTCCCAGCAACAGAAGTGTGTTTTCAAGGGGTCGACTGACTGAAGAGGCCATGGCTGCACCTGGAATCCCATGCTGGGCCACCCAGGAGTCAGGGCTTGACCCAGACCTGAAGGACGGGTAGAGTCTGGAGTGCCCAGAAAAGGGCAGCGGGACGGGGGGGTGTGTTTGCATGGCTGTGTGTGTGTGGATGGTTGTGTGTGTGTGTGTGTGTGTGTGTGTGTGGATGGGTGTGTGTGTGTGTGCATGGGGGTGTGTGTGCATGGGTGTGTGTGGATGGGTGTGTGTGTGTAGATGGGGTATCTGTGTGTGGATGGGGGGGTATGTGTGGATGGGGGGGTACAAAGGTCAGAGACGGGAAGCAGAAGCAGAGCCTGAGATCTGAAGTGACAAAGGCCCGTTGGTTGACAGCTGAGCGAATTGAGGCCTGACGGGGGCTCCCATGCTGTGAGGTTAGCTTGGAGAGACAGGATCATGGAGGGCCTCAAATGCCAGATCAGGGGCTGGGCTTCCCCCAGCAGGTGGCAAGGGATCAAGGGCGATTTCGTTCAGCATTTTGCTGGAAAGGCAGAAGCTGAGGTGGAGGTAATGGGACAGGTTGGTGGTGGTGGAATGCAGAGGGGTGTTGTCCCCCCCATTCACACACGGCAGTGGGTGTCCCCCCCCATTGACACACTGCTGTATCTTGGGCTCTGCACCAGTTCCCGTCTGCACACTGCCTCTGTGGGAGCAGACAGCACGGGGCCGGACCACAGACAAGACTCCCTCCTCGCTGCGTCTCTCCCTTCTCCCTGCCCCCTCTGCTTGAATCCCCAGAACCACACTGCTTGAACTCACTGAGTTAACAAGGCCGAGAGCCAAACCGAAAGAACTCTGTGTGAATCTCGCCGTAGAAACCTGTGTGTAACTCTCATCTTCGTCTCCCTTCACGGGACACACGGGAAGCATTTAGTTCAGTCACAGAAAGACACCGCCTTAGGGCCGACTTCTCTAGTTCGGGTCTCTCAGATTTGCAGGCACATCTTTCTGTGTTTGAACAAGTCCTGAAATGTAGGATTTATATTGGCGACATTCAAAGAAACTCAAGTTTGGAATTAGGTCATCATGGGCGATGGCTACACCACAGCTGTCTTTCATTCTTAGAGCTTCAAAAACATCTGAAGTTTAATTTGCTGTGAACACTTTAAATTCAAAAAACATTAGAGTAAGCTGCACCCCTTAACTGGACGTGCGTCATGTTGTCTTAATGGTGAGCCTTTCCAAACGTGGTGAGTACGTGGCTGCCAAGGAATTGACGACTTCAGATGTTTTGCGAGCTGTGAACACAGAACGCTCTGACTCGGTGGATTTACTCTGTTGTATGCTGACAGTGTGCCAGGGAGTCAGGATTAGGAACTAAGAAGGAAAGCCTAGAATAATCCCCTTTGTTTCAGACTGTGAAATTAACATTTGGACCTCAAAATGGAATGCAGCACAGACAGCTGCAAGTTACGATTTCACAGGACAGTGGGGAGAAAGCCCACGGGTGGAATTCAGAAGTGCCGGCTGCGTTCCTGCCTCAGCTAGGCCGTGTGAACGCGGGCCGTCAGCCGTCTCTCTCCAGTTGCCTCATTTGCAGATGGGAAGGGGCGGTGGTGAAGCTGGACGAGCTAGCACGCACAAGCTAATGATAAGCATCCTGATTTCCTCTGTGAAATAAGGGCTTCTACTGCCTAAACTCATTGCCGTCGATTCCGCCTCACAGCGACCCTACAGGACAGAGGAGAGCTGCCCCATAGGGTCTCCAAGGCTGTCATCTTTATGGAAGCTGAGTGCCACATCTGTCTCCCCCAGAGTGGCTGGTGGGTTAGAACGGCCGACCTTTTGGTTCGCAGCCGAGCGCTTAACCACTGCACCGCCAGGGCTCCCTTTCTACTGAAAAGGATAGGATAGGAAAACTGCATCAGGGCAACCCGTCAAGGCCACTAACGTGTAAAAGGAAGCTCTTTAGAGCATAAGGGAAGATGAGACAAATCAAACACCTTCATGGCAAAGACCGGGTCGTCTCTGCCGTCGCTTTGATGAGAGCCAACAGGGTGTGCAGGGCTCGGGGTGCACTGAGAAAGGCAAGCAACATGCTAACTGCAGCAAGGATGTTGAAGGAAACGGACTGCTGGGGCCCAACCTAGGAATAATTCAAGGTCTGGGCGGGTCATTAGTTTGAGGGGAGGCATCAGTCAGATTCTAGAAGTCCCGCTTCTTCCTGGAATCACGGCGAAATGCATTATAACGTTGAGCGTGACTGGCTCGGAGCGATACTGAAAGCTGTCCTCTCAGTCGTTTGCTGTGGTTTAACAAGTCATGAGTATTTTTTGGTTGGCTCTCAGGAAATCAGTACTGGTGGTATGACAGTGACAAGGATCAGGCCCACACGGAAGATGAACAAGGAAACCGCTACCCCAAATTGATTTCAGAAGGGTTTCCTGGAATCCCAAGTCCCCTGGACACTGCCTTTTATGACCGACGAAAGCGACTGATTTACTTCTTCAAGGGGTCCTTGGTAAGTAGAAAGCTTTCCAGCCCAGCGCTGCTTCTGCCGTCCTAACTGACACTTGCTAGATGACCACGTTCTTAGTTAAAAGCTGCTCTTATTTTGCTCAAACTGGGGACACTCATACTGCAGACTTGTAGGGCAATGGCAGACCATTCATTACATATGGGAAATTATTAAGAACTTCAAGTCTAAAGGTTTTGGTGCAAAGCCACAGATGTATCTACCTCATTGCTATAAACTGACCTAAAAAAAAAAAAAATCAATGATTTCAGAAAAGCATCTTACCTTCTAATCTGCTTTGCAGGTGTTTGCATTTGATGTCGAGAGAAATCAAGTACTTAATTCTTATCCAAAGAAGATTATTGACGTTTTCCCGGCAATAGCTTCACAGAACCATCCTTTCAGAAATATAGATTCAGCTTACTACTCCTACGCACACAACTCCATTTTCTTTTTCAAAGGCAATGCATACTGGAAAGTAGTTAACGACAAGGACAAACAGCACAACTCCTGGCTTCCTTCTAATGGATTATTTCCAAAAGAGTCTACCTCAGGGAAGTGGTTTGACGTGTGCGATGTCCACACTTCCACGCTGAGCATGTAATGAGAGAAAGAGGGAAGCAGAGACGGTCACAGGCTTGCTCTTCTAAAAGAGAAGGTCTGATTTCTTTTACAAAGAAAACGAACCAGATTTTTAGTAACTGAAGCGAACGTGGTTCCCTAAGTTAAAACCCAATGGAAAAAGCATTATTTAAAAATTTTAAATACTTTATTTAAAAAATCAATTTTTCAGTCAAACAACTTACTAAATAATTCTACTGAATTTTTAGGAGAGGGACAATAAAAGCCTCCTGAGGAGCCCTGCTTTGCCTCCCCCTCGCTATCGGGCTCTGCGGCCGTGGTCCCACAAAGCCCCCTCCCCAACTTCATGGGTAGGTAGGGAGGTAGCCACAGCCAGGGGGCCCGTCAGGGAAGGAGAGGCCACCCCCTAAGGGCATGGACAAGATTTTATTGCACTTAAAAGTTAATGATTCAATGGGAAAGTGTATAGAATCTAGAGGAACTACACTCCAAAATCTCTGTCGTAACAATTTCTGTTTTTCTCACAGATGACAGTGTACAAAAGGTTCTTTCTTGATCTCCACAGCTCTGTCAGAGTGCAGGGCAGAGACTGCTGTGCCCATTTCTAGTTAAAGACACTGAAATCACGAGTGTGTCCTGACGGAGGTCAAACCCAGTGAAGGTCACCTCGTCACTGCAGCCCGGCTCGGTCCATTCCCGTCTGGTGGTGTTTGCACAGACCTGCGTCCCGTTTCTGGCTCGCTGCGATTCATTTCCCGTTCCTCCCCCTGCAAAGCAGGACAGGCTCCACATGCCAACTCCTTTATGCCCTGAAAGCTAGACCACCGAAGAAGGCTCTGGAGCTAGCTGGACAGTTTCATTTTGCTACATCAGTAGATCGAGGCTGGCGTTACGTCCTTTTAATGTTCACATCATCTGGCTACCACCTCTTAACACAAACAAAAATAAACAAGAAAACCAATGTCATATGCAATGAGGGGGCAAAATGTGGGTAATGAAAGTGATGAGAGAGGTTCAGTAGTCTCCATGATCGAGCCTCAAAACACTCCACTTCTCAGGGAGCAGCTAAAACACAGGCACTTTAAGCAGCTTTCATTTAAATTAAAATCAACAAATACAAATAAATGTTAAAAGGACCTTCATAGTCTTTGCAGAAACACTTTCATGTTACTGCTCTGACAAGGGAGATAGCTAGCAGTTATATTTTCTAGCTTAAAAACAAATCTGCCCCTTGACGGAAAAGCTGTTCAGCTAGAGAGAGGCTAGGAAACAAGATAAACACCCTGACCTCCCTAACTCCAGCTCCTTCCTACGTAAGTAGGAAAATCCTTTCTGAAGGAATTAAACCCAGAGGTGGCTCCAATGGCAAACGGCTGGGTTATTCTCTGTGTGTGCTCGCTACTCAGGGAAGCAGCAGGACCCCCAGCCCTATCAGACACGGCTAGCTGTGCACAGCTGCTTAGAGCGAAGCAAAACTTTAAAGGCCTCAATGACTCATTTCTGCAAATGGATACAACTCTGTATCAAGGCCAGTGTGAACGAAACAAACAACAAAGGGGCAGACAAATGGCAAGGACAGTTCTGCCAAGCGATGGCAGATGCCAACTCGCTATCAATGAAAACACCTGAGCAATCTCCGTAAGACAGCAAGCCGTGTGACAAGATCAGCTGAAAACCGAGTTTATTCCAGACTGTTTCCACTACAGCTCCGGGTCCTTCCAGGAAGCAAGGCTGGTGAGCAGAGGGCTGCCAGGCATGGCGGATGGCTGAAGTGGAGGCAGGCCACAGGGGGACGGAAGGGAGCGCCGGTGTGCCGGTCTGCACGCAGGTCCGCAGCACATCCAAAGGCCGTGCGAGCGGGTCTGCAGCACACACAACTGGACAAGTGCCACGTGGCTGCAGTGAGCACATCCACACGCGGCTGGACAAGCACCACGTGGCTGCAGTGAGCACATCTGCACGCAGCTGGACAAGCGCCGCATGGCTGCGGTGAGCACATCTATACACGGCTGGACGAGCGCCACGTGGCTGCAGTGAGTAAGAAGTGTAATAGTCTACTGAGAATTTAGAAGATGGAAGAACTTCTAATGCTTTGATCTTTACTTTGTGAAGTTTATTCGATCTAGTTTAAATCAAAACTCTGAAGAATGTGACATGGAAAAATACATAGACATTGAAAATAAATAGTTTATTTATTCAAAATAGCATTCTTAACTTATTCACAGTTTTGAGTTTAAAAAGGAAAAAAGAAGGGGTAGTACCTATTCTTGATCAACAGCCATATAAAGTCAAAGAAAAGCTAATCCCTTAGAACGTGCACTAAGTACAGAAAATTGCACAACGGCTAGTCTCTGAAAAATCCCGCACTGAGCTAAAAATGGGCGCCCTTCTGTGGCGTGCGGATTAGAAGGAAACGCTGTAGATGTGCAGGAGCTTCTTCAATTCTCTTAAGCCAGTAAAATCATTGGGATAAAAGTTCCTCTGGCCAAAGTAACATTTTATCCAAAATAATCATACCTTAAACCCACTAGCTTAACATACTTCAAAAATACGTAAAAGTGTGATTGCATTACAGCAAGTCAACTGGTATTGAGGTACCATGTGCTTCTCAGAGAAATCTACGCGGGGAGATGGAGGTTTGGTTCTGATCGTAGCATTTCACGTGCAGAAGCCAAAGAACCCAACCAGAATCCATGAGTTGTGGGAAGCGAAAACCGTGTTTCCGCTGCTGTACCTGTTTTAAATGCATATTCGTCGCATTTAATGGAATGAAGCACCAAGTGGACAGACTGGCTCCCGTGGCTGGAAGGCACTGACAGCATTTCTGCGGAAGCAGATCCACGCGCGAGGTCACTGACCGGCGCTGCCGCTGCAGGCAAGCTGATCCAGCAAATGGACCACAACATCGATTCTTTCCAAGACAGCTGTGCCTCTGTCTGCGGTCGCTCTCAAAAGCTGGGAGTAGATCTGCTTGTTGGCTTTGAGGACCACGTCTTCTTCCGTGTTACTGCTGGGGTTAAAAACAAAACAGGTAAAGCAAACGGTGATGCCACCAACAGCGCACAGACCGGTACATAAATAAACAATCCAGCCCGACGGTCACTCTTCAGAGAGAACCAGGTGTTCCGTGAAATATAAAAAGCTCTGTCACCACCGATTCCATACCTGCCTTCCTGCATCTACTGCTTGTGGGCCTGTTTCTAGGCAATAATTTTCAATACATCAATTAAAACAAATACTCATTCTTTTCACAAATACTTGTGTGCCTACTATGTACCAGGAACTGCTCTGGACAGAACATAACAAAACTCCCTGACTTCGTGGAATCTGCATTCTATCGAAGTAGGAGTTATTTAAGAAAACAGAGGGTTCCAGGATAAATGCTAAGAACAAAAAGAACAGATGGGTGAGGTCAAGCTAAGCAGTATTTCTGTATTAAGGCCCCAGGCTACGGACCCTCCCAGTGTCAAGAACAAGCACACTTCTAAGGCACCCGTGGGGCTGCTTCATCCAGAGCGAGAACTATCCAGGACTTCACACACAGACTCCTGACTTCGAGGAACTCTTGCACCTCAATTTACTCACGTCAGTACAGCTTCCCTGTGAAGAATGCCCCTCAGTCAAAGAGGACTATACAGCTGTTGCTGTTAGGTGCTGTTGAGTCAGTTCTAACTTACAGTGACCCTATCTATGTACAACAGAACGAAACACTGCCCAGTCTTGTGCCATCCTCACAATCATTGCTATGCTTAAGCTCACTGCTGCAGCCACTGTGTCAATCCATCTCATTGAGGGTGTTCTTTTTTTTCGCTGACCCTGTACTTTACCAAGCATGATGTCCCTCTCCAGGGACTGATCCCTCCCGATAACATGTCGAAAGTATGTGAGATGTAGTCTCACCATCCTTGCTTCCAAGGAACATTCTGGATGCACTTCTTCCAAGACAGATTTGTTCGTTCTTTTGGCAGTCCGTGGTATATTCGATATTCTTCACCAACACCACAATTCAAAGGCGTCAATTATTCTTCATTCTTCCTTGTTTATCATCCAGCTTTCATTCACGTATGAGACGACTGAAAACACCATGGCTTGGGCAGGTGCACCTTAGTCTTCAAAGGTGATGTCTTTGCTTTCCAACAATTTAAAGACGTCTTTTGCAGCAGATTTGCCCAATGCAATGCGTCTTCTGATTTCTTGACTGCTGCTTCCATGGGTGTTGATTGTGGATCCAAGTAAGATGAAATCCTTGACAACTTCAATCTTTTCTCCATTTATGATGATGTTGCTTACTGGTCCAGTTGTGAGGATTTTTGTTTTCTTAATGTTGAGGTGTAATCCATACTGAAGGCCATAGTCTTTGATCTTCATCGGTAAGGGCTTCAAGTCCTCTTCACTTTCAGCAAGCAAGGTTGTGTCACCTGTATCACACAGGTTGTTAAGAAGTCTTCCTCCAATCCTAATGCTACATTCTTCTTCATATAATCCAGCTTCTAGGATTATCTGGTCAGCATATAGAATGAAAAGGTGTGGTAAAAGGATACAACCCTGATGCACACCTTTCCTGACTTTAAACCACGCAGTATCCTCTTGTTCTGTTTGAACAACTGCCTCTTGATCTACATACAGGTTCTTCATGAGCACAATTAAGTGTACAGTAGTCCATTAAAAACTGTTTTAACAAAAGCTTCCTAAGTTTGCTGTTTGTTCTGAAAATATTTAACCCTTATGATGGATCAACAGATTGTATTTGTGTTGTTACAGTCATTACATGGCAGCTCATGTCTAGTACCCATTTTTTAACGAGCCCAGATACAGTGCAGACCCCCAGCTACATGTAACCTGGTTAAGAGCCGACAGTTCCGTATTGTACACGATCACATCTGAGCCTCACAAAAAACCTGTCTCCTTAGAAGGGCAAGGACTAGTATTCTTATTTTACAAATGTAAAAACTAAGGCCCAGACCCAAACCCACTGCTGTCAAGTCAATTCCGCCTCATAGTGACCCTGTAGGACAGAGTAGAACTGCCCCATAGGGTTTCCAAGGCCGTAATCTTTACGGAAGTAGATGGCCACATCTGTCTCCTGCAGAGTGCCTGGTGGGTTCAAACCACTGACCTTTCAGTTAGCAGCTGAGTGCTTTAACCACTGTGCCACCAGGGCTCCTAGGGCCCAGAAGGGTTATATAATCTCGATCAAGGTCAAGACGTATGTTTTCCAACTTCAAATGCTATGTTCTTTGCACTCTCCCATGAGCCAATTTCCTGCCTTTCCCCGAGCACCTGTCAGCAGGCCTGCCAGAGGGCCAACAGCGGTCTAGAACCTCCCTGTTGCCCCACCTTAAGGCCCAGGCTGTAGGAATTCCTCCTTTTCGTCTTTCACAGCTCAGTTCACCTTTTCCTGACCACAGGCCCAGGCTAGAGACCAGTGCAGTCCAGCACACACACAACCTTTTTAGAGACCCACTTCTCCTGTCTTATTCCTGCTTCTTTTAGCAGACAGATCTCTTCTCTTCCCCCGCCCCTCCCCAGCTCCACCCAATGGGGCTGTTCGGATACATTCACTATCTGCCATTTGGGCGTCAGCATAACTGTGTTTTAGTTTAGTCACCGAAATCTTTGATGACCTTATAAAACTTTAAATGGCCATTTCATAGTAATCAGAGGTGTTCAAAATATGACTTATTCTCTATGGACAGTGATATCACATTGTCATTTTAGCCAGGTGGGTGCCTAAAGAAAACCGATGGCTGCTGGGATCATAAATTTTAAACCTTCTCATCAGTTCTGACCACGCTCTGAATCTTAAATCTCCGCCTTTCAATTTCTACAAATTATTCCCTTCCTTAGTCAGCTCCCATCAATGGTTTCACTGAACCATGAACCCTGCTCAGGGCACCATCATTTCATAGGGTTGTCTTTATTCCAAAGGTAGCTAACTTACAGTCTTTTATCTTCCTTTTTACAAATCTTAACCAAATATTAAATTTATCCATCTGGCCCGGAACAACCCATAAATCTACAAGATTTGTTCTCTGCACCGTGGCCGAGAGCTCCTCCACCTCATGGATTACCTCAACTTTTTAGTTTTTCATTATATTAAACCTCAAAGTCACCAAAAGGTCAAGAGCCTCCAATCTGTCAAAGTACTGACGATCAAAACACAGCACAAGAGCAGACAGATGAGTCTTAATCCAAAAGAAAACCCACGACCTAACAGACCACATCAGTGTTTCAGGCAGGCCAGTGCCAAGGCAGCAGCCCCAGGACAAAACGTCTGCATGATCTCAAAATGAAAACAACAAAATTTTTTAACAAGTTAAATACATCTTAATTTTCTTAGATTTCACGACAATGCTATGGGAACCTAAGAAAATTAAGATACATTTAAATTATTAAGCTCAGTTTATTCAACCTGGGGAGGAGGGGAAGAGCTAAGTAAAACAAACCATAAACTTATTAATATTTCCTGTATTTTAAAGTCTTGTTTTGATTTCCCTTCATTCCAAAAAGGAATGGGCACTAATGCACAGTGAAATGACTGGTGTGCAGCTGAGGAGGCTCTCCTCTGCACAGTATGATCACAGATGTTTTCATCTCCTTATCAGTGAAACACAAGAAAGTCCCAGGCTTAGTAAGCAATATTTCTCTCTGGATTGAAACCTGTAAACATATTAATTATATTACCACCAGTATCACATTTTACAGTCTTTTATTTAAGAAACCTTGAGAAAGTAGCACAAATTAGCTAAACAGGATTTATGTACCATCCATGAAAATTTTAGACAAAGTATTTTTGCAAAGAACACTAAAAATCTGAATAAACAGAAGGTTAGAGGACCCGCCACTGAAACAAAAATTACTAGGTCATACATGATTGCTATGATTATAGAAGACATTACAGGACTGAAACTACTACCCATCAGCCAATTACTTAAACAATCAATTTGTGAAAATAAATGAATTACTGTTTCTCACATATTATGTATTTATATCGCCACCTTGTGGAAACCACTAACATTTAAAAAAAATTAACCCACTGCTGTTAAATAGGAGAAGCCCTGAGTTCTTTTTCAACTGCGTGTCATTACATGACTATCTCCTCTGCCTTCTAGTTCTCCAGAAAGATGGGTGTCTGCTAAGTTGCTATGTACCAGTGACAGGATGTGCTGTAGACACCGAGGATTAGAAACTGAGCTGAATGAAACAGCAGTGTACCTAAATGTTACTGACACTGCCCCCCAAAATACAAGTTCTCATTAGGCTGTAAAGAATTATTTGAAGGCAATTATTGGAGGGTGCTTCTTCTGAGGATGTAGAGAGCTGGAAAAAGTATTGCCCCCACCCTTGCAAAACTACCATTAACAGAATTCACCTGGAGCAACAGAGGAAGGAGGAGAGTCAGGAACAGGATGAGGATATAGAATGTGTGGCTAATTGCCTCCACGAACAAACTGCCTCCTTTGCCATGAGATCAGAAGAACTGGATGGTGTCCAGCTACCATTACTGAACATTTTCATCAAAGAGTCTACTAAAGAATCCTGATCAAAAGGGGGAAAATGCAGAACAGAATTTCAAATTCTCACGGACTCTACACTTTCTGGAGCCATGAAGGTTGGATGAAGCCCCTCAAACTACTGCCCTGAGATAATCTTTAAACCTTAAACCAAAAACATCCCCTAAAGTCTTCTTAAAAAAATAGTTTAGCTTAACTAGTAAAAAAGGTCTGCTTTGAGCATTATGCTCTTTTAAGAACCATCTATACGGGATCAAATTGACAATAGCAACTTGAAATGAGATAGAAACCTTAGGGGTCAAAGAGTTTATGTTAATGAGGGAAGAACAATTCATAAAAGGAGGGTGTGAATGGTTGCACAACTTGAAGAATGTAATAATGTTATTAAATGGTACATGTAGAAATTGTTAAATTGGTTTGTGTTTTGCTGGGTACAGTCTCCACAATAACAACAAAATAAATGACATCAAAAACAACAACAACAAACCCAACACCTACAGAAGCAGGACAAACGATAAGCTCACACCTTTTCTCGAATCCATCAGAGAGCTCAGGTCCCGGGAAAGTAACTAGTCTGGAGTCTAAGGGCAGACAGTTGATTCAGGGAGCGACAGGGGAGTACTTCCTTACCTGGGCACTGGTAAGAATTTAGCTGAAACAGTTAGTGAGCTGGTTAGGCTGTGTGTGGGCTAGTGGGAGTGAGGAGTCGCTGGGCGCTGCAGGGGGAGGAGCAGGCCATACCTCCCCTACAGGACTTCCTCCAAGAACCCCACCAGGTGCTTTCAAGAAAGATTGGGGAGAGTCAATGTAACTCCCCAAAGGAAAACCGCATGGTCAGTCAATGCAGCAAAAATATCTTGACAAAAATTCAACATCCATTCATGATGAAAACTCTCAGCAAACTAGGAACAGAAGGGACCATCCTCATCTTGATAAAGGGCATCTACAGCCAAGTTTAAACTATGGCTAGCGTTAAACTTAAAAGGCAGAATGCTTTCTCCCTGAGATCTTAAGGAACGGAGGGTGGGGGAGGGGTTGACTACAAAGGGGCAGCAAGAGGGACCTTCTGGAGTGATGGAAGTGTTCTGTATGGTAAGTGAATACGAGACTCCATGCATTTGTTAAAACTCAATACATACCACAGAGGGGATTCTACTGTATATGAACTAAAACATCAAACAGACCAGAACTGTATACTGATTATAAGCTGGTAAACAGGCACAGGATAACTGATAACAATGCAGGTATTAGGGTGTCAGGGTGAATGATTTTCTTCTTCTTTCTGCTATTTTCCAAGCTTTGTAATATGGCCAGATTGTACTTACATTTTTTAAAAAGGCATATTATTTATATTACTTTCCTGATCCAAACCTGTAAAAAACCAAACCCACTGCCATCAAGTCAATTATGACTCACAGTGACCCCATAGGGTCTCCAAGGAGCAGCTGATGGATTTGAACTGCTGACCTTTTGGTGAGAAGCCGAGCTCCTAACCACCACGCCACCAGGGCTCCTTTCCTGACCAGCAACTCTGGAATTCCACATTAAATTAATAAGGCCGAACTAACAACTCCAGCAACAGAACGAGACTCGACAGATGATGTAAGTACACGAGAACGTTTCCTGCGGAGACACTCGCTTCTCTGTTCTCCTTGGGAATTTCCTGGGCTCTAGAGCGACTCTGATGTTCATCTCCCTTCTGCGATGTACGTACCTCGAGTGTCAGACTGGAGTCCTGGCTTCCCACTAGGGACAGTGTTAGCAGTGTTGGTAAAACACTGAGGATCTCCGCCCGGGGTCACTCATCTCTCTCAGGGGAACTACGACAACAACAGGGTGTTTACCCTCAGGCAGC